GTTGAAGCTTTTGCTGGTTTCAATCTCATGCAATTCCCTTCAGGAAAAGCTGAACGTGTGTGCGTGTGTGTTTATGGGTGCCAAAAATTTCCAGTTTTTCTCATTTCCATGAAAGTGCTCCAAAACTGGGCAGTTTTTGAGGACTGTTTGCATTTTGGGAGTTCAGAGCAAAAAAAAAAAAAAACCTTCATGGTTTTTACAGATAGCATTACAAGAATGCTTTTTTCTGCCCTGAAAACAACATTTTTGTTCAGAAAATACAATTTTCTGTGCAAAAAAAAAAAGAGGAAGGATCTCACAGAAAATCATAAACAGTAAACATTCTTGTTATGAGGAAATTCTCTTCACTAGGAGTTCCCAACAGTCAGAAACCCAGTTTTTCATCCATTGATCCAATAGTTTTGAATATTCTTTCCATACAATGATGGCAAGGATCCAGCTCTCCAAATCTCAATTGGTTATATTGTTTGTTTGTAAGTCATTGGTAAGGTTGTCAAGATTTGCCAGCTTCACTTTTCTTTCATTTCTCAAAATCCCACTGACATTATTGTTCCACCTCAATTTCAACTTAGCCTGTGAGACCCCCTCTCTCAAGGTATTTTGTATTTTTAGTTATATTTTGTATTTTTACTTCTGCATTTTTATCTTTTAAGGATATATTTTTATGTATCTACCCCATTGACTAAAACATGTATGTGCTCATTTTTGTAAATATGCACACTCTCTTAGTCATACAGATTTTTTTCAGACATATGATGGTTCTGTGTACATTTTTTTCTCCACCTGAATATGTTGCAAGAGTCAAAATTGTTAGAGTATGCAGACAGTGCGGATCTAGCATACAGACATGCAGATTAGATGCACATAGGCAGGAATGCCCAGAAGCTGGTTTTCTGTGATGAGTCTCCTCCAGACGGCACAGATAAAACCTCCCACATGCAGCTGCTGCTGCTGCTGCTGCTTTCAGCTTGGAGAAAAGAATAGTTTCACAGCGTGGCTTCTCTCAGAGAGGGCTTTAATCTTTGTTGCAACTATTTACAAAGATACACAGAGTACCAGACTTCCGTCTTGAATACTCTCAGCTATACAGAGTAACAAAGTGCTTCGCCAACCACAACTAACCAACAACAGAGATTCTGACTCTCTCCCATATATAAGTGGTCCTCTTGAGAACATGTGACAGCCATGTACTAATGAAACCTGGCTGGTTTCATTCCCAGTGCCTGTTACATCAGGCCTTTCATGATGTACAGCTTACTAAATACTGATTCATGCACCTGCTACTTGAACTGTAGTAACCCTGTTACTATTGCTCCAGTTCTTTTCAGTGGCCACATCCATGTCATTTTCCAGACCAGGGTGCCACAAGGTCTTGACAAGAATTCTGTAGGTTTTCAAGACAGGATGCATTTCACCCCATCTCCAATCATGGAAGATGTGAAACTGTTTTTTTTTTTTTAAGACAAAATCATCTGTCATTGGTCATGGCCAATACTTCATACATCTGGGACATAATTTATTTAGATATGACCTGAAATGACAGGTAAATATATCCATTTAGCAATGTAGGTAAAGCATAATATTTATTGATGTTTGTATTTTTACAATGTATTTTGTATAATTGGATCTCTCCCCTCCCCATTTATGCACATAAACATCTAAAGTTCAGAGGGAAATTTAAGACTAGCTCAGCACATTATATGTTCTAATGAATAGTTTACTTCTTAGAACATGGGAAATAATTCAAATATTTTTAAAAACACCAAACAAACAAGAGGTTTGACTTCACTTGAGCTCATCAGCATTATTTTATTGAACCCGAGGCATAAAAATTTAGCTTAAATGGTTTATGATAATGCAAGAATCTAACATCAAAACATGAATGCAGAATAACAAAGATGCAATTGTCACTTTCAAGAAGGACAGATTGGGAGGCAGTTACAGTTTAATTGTGATCAACACAACAATCTACTTTGGTCATTGCTGTACTTGTTGTTGTTGTTGTTGTTAACTGCTATTGAGTCAATCTCGGTTCATCCATCTAGAATGTGGCCTTCCTCTCTTCCTACTTCTCTCCACCTTCCCTGCATTATTGTTTTTTTTTCCAAAGAGTCCCCTCTTTTCATGATAGGTCTGAAGTATGACAGTCTCAGTTTGGTCATCTTGGCTTCCAGAGAGGTTCCCGGTTTGATCTGCTCTAGGAGTCACTTGTTTGACTTTTTGGCTTTCCATCAGATCTTCAGCACTCTTATCCAGCACCACATCTCAAATGCACTGATTTTCTTCCTACCATCTGTCTTAACTGTCCAGCTCTCACATCCATACATGGTAAGAGGGAATACAATTGCTTATATGATTTACTGTACTATAAGCATATAATTGCTAATTGAAATTGTATTTACTTCTGGCTTTACAGCAACACATGCTATTAACTGATTATTTATTAACAGTTTCAGGTCAGTTTCGGTCAGGACAGGGGAATGGGGGGAGACTCTCCAGGCCAGTTTCTGAAAGAAAGGAGAAAGAGAAGGAGGCTTTCCAGGCCAGTTCCTGCTAGCAAAGAGGAAGAAAGCAGTTTCCAGGCAGCCATTTTGAGGGGGCAAGTTTTTAAATTCTTTTTAAAAACACTTGAGGAGAGTGTGACTGTTACTCAGTGGGTGGGGCTTTGTTGAGTCACATTTGCAAGTCAATAGAGGGTGGGCTATGCAGTTAGCTCTATACAACTGCTCCCAGAGGCCAGTTTCAGATCAGTT